CTAATAAAAACAAATCGCAGCTGCGCGCATCGGCCACGAATGACCTAGTAACTACTTTCCATTTCCAACGGAACTGGAGCTCTACATGCTGCTGCTACATATATCTTCTTTCTCCATAACGAACACACTCTTTCAACCTGAGTCGCAAAGTAGTGATAATGATAATGATAATGATAATGATTTATTATCGGTCAGTAACTCAAACCAAACAAAACATAGTTATCTTGTGCAGTGCCCGATACACGGAAGGTGAAATTTAAAATATATAAAAACGGGAAACGGGTGAGAAGGGGGGAAGAGGAGGAACAGGTGGAACACTTGGTGGTGAAGAGCAGTGGCCCGCCAACACTGCAAGTCGCGAGAGTAGCACAGCGCTCCGGATACCATCTTAGTAGGTCCGTCAACGCCACCAAAGTCCACCTGATATCTTGCCAACTGGAAGGCTTGGGTCAGGAATAGAAGGGGGGGGGAGCCATTCAAAAGCTAACAGAGTAGTCTTACAACTGAGCTACAATCATGCAACACCGGAATACAGAGGTTAAGTTGTTGCGAGAAATAAGCATTAACTAGCTTCTTGAAGGAGAGAACTAGTGCACAAGAAAGGATTCGCAACATACATAGGAACAACCAAGAAGAAAGGAAAAGAGATCTAAACTCAAGGACAGATGCTCACAACACCCAACAGACGAACATTTAACAGATAACAATGAGAATAAGCATCTAATAATAAATGCATCTGTCCTTGGGTTGAAGTGCATCGATATCCACGATATTCCCTGTCCTAATACCAGCCCTGTTCTTTGAGAATCTTATTAAGCTTATTGTTGAAAGATCTGGATGACACTGAGTCAACTACATCGGCTGGTAGGCTGTTCCAAAATGATATGACCCTCTGCGAAAAGCAGTTCTTATACGTGCTTGAGCGAGCTTTCTCTCTTAGCAGCTTGAAACGGTGCCCTCGTGTTACGCCTATAGTTCCTGACTTTCTAAAAAGCTCGTCAAGCTTAACATCAATCTCACCTCTAAATAAGCTTGAATAGTACATTGAGGTCTATAACTTTCCTCCTCATCTCAAGCGTTGTAGAATTAAGGTATTTTAGACGATCTTCATATGGAATATGAAATATGCCTGCTCGCGCAAATATTCTCTCGGTGAACTTATTTTGTACCCGTTCTATCTCTTCTACTAAGGCCGAGTTGATGGTGACCAAACTGGCGAACAGTACTCCAAAAGTGGTCTAACATAAGCCGTAAAAAGCACGAAAAGTGTTCTTTATGTGTCTGATAGAGAATGCGCGGAAAATAAAGTTCGATCGCGATTTGGCTAAATTAATCGAGGCTCTTATGTATTCTTCAAAAGATAGAGCTGTATCGTACGTTATACCGAGATCCCGAATCAGAAGGGCCTCTTCAATCTTGATTCCATTGATTGAGAATTCATTGTTGTCAACGCACGTCCCTAATTTCATTACGCGAGTTTTTTCAAGCGATATCTCTAAGCCCCATGTTGAGGACCACTCCATAAACTATCCAGGGAGCGCTGCAGAGTTTGCGGGTCATCGATAGAAAATAGTTTTACATCATCAGCATACATGGTGCAGTTTATCTCCTCAGGCAAAGAAAGTGGAAGATCATTTATATATATTAAAAACATTAGGGGTCCTAGACATGTGCCCTGGGGCACTCCACTATGGCGTTTCATAGGGCTCTTGAAAGAACGTCCTTGATAATAACAGCTTGCTTTCTAGAAGATAAAAATGACGTCAGAAATTTGAGAAGCGAGCCCCCGATTCCGTATCTTTCTATTTTGGCAAACAAGAGAGTGAGAGGGACTGAATCAAAAGCTTTCTTAAAGTCAATGTATGCCACGTAGACAGATTTCCTCCTATCGAGTTGCTTTCTGCCATAACGGAATAGTGGACACCAGGGCGCTGAGGCACGACTTCTTAGGAAGGAACCCGTGCTGACATTCAGATATAAAATCATACTGGGCGAAGTATTCTTTCATACGAGAACAAATGATTCTTTCCATAACCTTACTAACGCACGGACGTCAAACAAATGGGTCTATAATTTCTGAAATCACTTTCGGGACCCTTCTTATGTATGGGTTTCACCCACCCCAATCGCCACACTTCAGGAACTTCTCCTTTCAAGAGGAATCTATTGAATAAAATCGTTAAGGGAAGAGTGAGCCCCAAAGCAGCTTTCTTGAGAAAAATGTAAGGCAGCATATCAGGAGAAGTAGACGAACGAAGAGGCAACTTAGTCAAGACCCGGTAAACGTTCTCGCAGCTGATATCTACCCAGTCGAGACTGGCTTCACGACTAACCGTTAGAGGAACTGGTTCTATGAACTTTTGCTCGTAAAAGGTCCTAAAATAGTTCGCGAAAGCTTTAGCTTTGTCCTCATCGAATACACACTTCTTCTTGTTTTGGTCAATGATAGTGCCTATGTTTGAAGCTTCCTTAAGTCTTGTGTTGCAATATTTCCAAAACCGTTTAGGGTTCTTTGACAGAGCTACCCTCGTTTCATATCGCACTTTATGCTTATGTAATTTATTGTTAAGCATTCTGACTGCTTTCACATAGTGTGGGTCGCGTATCCCCCGACCACTGTTATACAGCCGCGCAACTCGGGCCTTTAACAGCGTAATTTGTCGGGGTTCTTTCCTTGAGACAGAGGTTTTAGTGGAAGAGGGAACAAACTTCCTAATCAGTTCATGACAGAAACTCAAAAACGCCTCGTAGCACAAGCTTGGATTCTCAAGGGAATCAAAGATATCACGCCAGTTGACCCGCAGCAGTTGTTCACAAATGGTTCGTAATCTCCGTGGCAGAAATCCTTTATCGGTTTCGACCAGAAGATTACAGGGTCCTCACTCAATATAGAGAATGACACGGAGGCATGGTCAGATGTGGAGAATGGGGTACCAACCTTAACATCGGCAAGAAGAGCTGATTGTTAGAGAAAACTAAGTCGAGAGTATTTGTATCAATGGGTTGGGCAGCTAACGTATTGCTTGAAATTATGTGACTCTATGAAGTTCAAAAGGAGCGCGCATTTGAGGGAACTTTGTGTCCCGGGACCCGACTTGGTAGGCTCATTCCAGAGAATACCAGGAAGATTGAAATCCCCAACAATAATAACAGGAGTCCTACTCATACTCAATTCCTCCAAATAATTAATGAACTCTTGAAAGCTTTCGGTTGAAGAAGAAGGGCTGCGGTATGCGACGACTAAAATGGCACATAGAGAAGCTACTGTGATCTGAATGGTCAGACATTGAATATAGGGTGAGAAGTTCAATGAGGAGAGCAAGACTGTGGGAATGGAATCGTGAACAAGTGCGAGAACTCCCCCTCCCATCATTTCACCCTCCCGGTCCACAACGAAGGACGTGGTAAGGCAGACCAGCTGATATAGTGGAATCATGTATGAGATGCGGCTTACACCAAGACTCTGTGACCAGGACTGCCTTCGGACTGCATAGCAGAAGGTTGCGCAATTCGGGGAGTTTAATGTTGACTGAGCGCGCATTCATCAGGATAAAAACATTGTACAGCTCAGAACAGGATGCGGTTTCCAAGTGCGAGAAGACCCGAATGTGAGAAAGCCTGGCCCTAGAATCCTGTACCAGGACTCGTGTAGGCGTTATCAGCGATTCCTAAATCGGAGCCTCGCTGATTGGGCGTAGAAGCAATTCTGTGGAGCGCAGCACTCGGTATCTGTTGTGTGGTCTCCCGTAGAGGAGTGCTAGAGGAAGTCTGCGAGGGGATTCCTGATCCGTGCTGACTCGCTGTCGTAGGTAGTTCTCTAGGATTCCTCAGCTTGTGAATCTCTAAATCGCGCACTACGTAAGCGAGTTTCCTGCTTCCCTGTTGAGCTCTCCAGCTTGTTTCCTCAATTTCCTGTCCAGATCAAGCTCTTCCTGCGTGTAGTCCCGACGAGCGTATGAGTGGAAGAAGTTCTTCGTGAGACTCTGCCGTCCTGATCTCATATGGGCAAGTAACCTGTCTTTCAGTGCCTTATTTGGTAGGTCGATTTTATAATCCGTCCCCTAGCATTCATTCCTCTTGGTTGTCCCTGTGGATGACGATGTAGGGTGATACCACCCTTCGCAAACTCCGTCGCAAGTTCCGCATCACCTGATGTTTCTATCACTTCCTTGAGTGCTTCGTAGTCGAACTTGCGGGTCGCGATGTCATCCCTTTGCTCCCCGATCCCAACCCATGCGATCCTGCGGAGCTTATCCTCGATCTTGGATTCGTCTGCGCGGACCTTTACGATGGTGGAATACAAGGCGTTCTGTGTCATAGGAACAGATCTTTTCATTGCTTCTATGGACGCTTCAACTGCATTCAGTCGGGAGAGGATTGACTCCTGGACTTCATCAATCTTTGCGACCTTGGCTGTAAGCTTTTCGAACGACGATATCAAAACTTTCTCGATCCTTTCACAGCATGATTCGTACTTCTCTATCATCTTCGTCGCCCACAGCGGCATATCCTGAGTAACGAAGAAGAATCCTTCTTCAACAGACTTCCTTTTGCTACCCCTCGCCATGACAGTCAATCAATAAAATCAAAGCGGTCTTGGTGGCCAAGTGAAATGCGAGCAACAAACAAGGAAACCCCAAAAAGGAAGGAAGTAAGCAGTAAGAAAACAGCCTAACGAAAAAAAGGTAAGAATAACTCAAAATAAATACTAACAAGAAAAAAAAAGCTAATTAAAGGGTACCTGTTTAATCGGAAGAGTATAAATATTCAAAGTAGTGATAGCC